ATGCTAAAATAGCCCTTGATGAGGCAGAGGCACTTAATGTGGTACATGCAAAAGAGCATGATGAAATGGGTGCTCTTATAAAGACCCAGTTAGCTAAAAATGATACAATGAGGTAAATGTCAAAGTGCATGATGAATGATGAAAATGGTACTCTTGAAGAGACCCAATTAGCTAACAATGATAAAGTTGTTGTTGATAAAACACATGCCCTTGATGTGGCAAAAGGACCTAACGAGGCCCAAGGACCTAACGAAGTCAAGTTAGCTAAATATGATAATATTGCAAAGGTACTTGAAAAATCAATGAGATCTCAATAAATTATAAGAAGAGATAGAACATAAATGAAGTTGTCAGGGACAACATATTCTCATATACAATTTCTCTTCATATAAATAATGAGGATCCGGAACCTAAAAATGAAAATGTCGAAGAAAGTTAACTGAAAAATGATTGGCCAAAATGGAAAGAAGCAACACAGGCAGAGCTAAATTCATTAGCTAAACGTGAAATATTTGGACCTGTAGTCCAAACACCTGAGGGTGTAAAGCCTGTTGAGTACAAATGGATATTTGTACGAAAATGTAATGAGAAAACTAAAATTATAAGATATAAAGCCCGACAGGTAGCTCAAGGTTTCTCATAGAGACCTGGTGTTAATTATAATGAAACGTACTCTCATGTGATGGATGCAACTACATTCATAATACATTTGGCAATCACAGAAAGATTGTATACGCATCTAATGGACGTGGTAACGACATATTTATGTGGATCACTGGAAAGTGATATTTATATGAAAATCCCAGAAGGATTTCAAATACCTGAAACAAAACTACATTGTATGTACTCGATCAAATTACAACAATCCTAGTATGGATTGAAACAATCTGGGCCCATGTGGTACAATCGTTTTAGCGAGTACTTGATAAAAGAATGGTATGTGAATAATCATATTTGTTCATGCATTTTTATTAACAAGTCAATATATGGTTTTACTATTATTGCAGTATATGTTGATGATCTGAATATTATGAGAATATTGGATGACATCGAAAAGACAACCACTTATTTAAAGAAAGAATTTGAGATGAAAGATCTCGGGAAAACAAAATTTTGTCTTGGTTTGCAGATTGAACATTTATCAAGTGGAATCCTCGTCCACCAGTCAACATATACAGAAAAGATTTTGAAGCGATTCTATATGAATAAAGCGCACCCATTGAGCTCCCCAATGGTTGTTCGTTCACTTGACATCAAGAGAGATATTTTTTGTCCTCGAGAGGATGATGAAGCATTCCTTAGTCCTGAAGTGTCATATCTCAGTGCAATTGGTGCTCTTATGTATCTTGCAAATTACAGACGGCCGGACATAGCATTTTCAGTCAATTTATTAGCAAAATACAGTTCTGCACCAACCCACAGACATTGGAATTAAATCAAGCATATATTACAATATATTTGTAGTACAATTGATATAGGGTTGTTTTATTCAAAAGAATCAAACTCCCAGTTAATTGGATATGTAGATGCTAGCTATCTCTCTGATCCATACAAAGCTTATTCACAAACATGATATATGTTTACCTGTGGTGGCACCGCTATATCATGGCAATCTATAAAACAGATATTGATTGCAACTTCTTCAAATCATTTAGAAATACTCGTAATTCGTAAGGCATGTAGAGAATGCATTTGGTTGAGATTAATGATCCAGCATATTTGAACAGCATGTGGTCTCTCATCAATAAAATATAGTCCTACAGGATTATATGAAGATAATGCTGCATGCATTGCACAGATGAAAGATGATTATATCAAAAGTGACAATACCAAGCATATCTCACCAAAATTCTTTTATGCATATAAACGTCAGAAGAATGGTGATATTGATATTTAGCAGATATGTTCAAATGAAAATTTAGTAGACATGTTCACTAAAGCACTACCAACTACGACGTTCAAAAGGTTTGTATACAATATTGGAATGCGTTAACTCAATGACTTTTAGTGTTGAACTAATGCAGCAATAAGGGGGAGCACCAAATTGAAAAGGTATTGGCATGCTGTACTCTTTTTCCTTCGCTCAGGTTTTGTCCCACTATGTTTTCTTGGCAAGGTTTTAATGAGACAGTTTTAACCTATACAATACCATTTTCATATATACAAGAATATTGTACTCTTTTTCCCTTCGCTAAGTTTTTATCCCACTAGGTTTTTCTTAGCAAGGTTTTAACGAGGCATATTCTTAGTGTTGTGTAGTGGACCTTAAGGGAGAGTGTTATATATATGTGGTGTCCACTAATAGTATAATGTTGAATTAATGGTGCAATAAATAAGAATTAAATGCAGCGCAATAAATAAGAGTTAAATGCAGTGCAATAAATAAGAGGTAAATGCACTTCGTTAATGGTGCACTAAGGATGTTGACTAAAGTTTGGCTATAAATAAGGATTGTTCATTGTTATATCAATGTACTTGGATTTAAGAGAATAATAAGATCTATCTACCATCTCTACATTCTTCTTTCTATATTGAAGATATAATTTTATGTTATATATTTTCTTTTAGATTCACCACATATTCCACTTAATTGTGAATTATGTTTTTCATCTCCTCCAAACCAAAGGCTGAGTAGCTAAGATTCTAAGAAGAACGGACACAGGACATGGATATAACACTACACGGACATAACGAATCAACAAATTTTAAAAAAATTAAACACATACACGTCAATAAAATAATAATATAATTTATTATTATATAAAATAAATTATATTTTTCTCAATTTCTCTTATAGATTCATAAATAAAACCAATATAAATTAGACCCACCATACATGTCATTTATTTTTAAAAAATATAAAGGTCCAATATGTCTAAATTTAATTAAAATACAAAAAAAAAAAAAAAAAAATACAATTCTTATTTTTATTTATTTTTTTTCTCTGAAAGGTTAAACATATATATGTATGTAGGTTAATGTACAGTAAGGGCTCATTCCCAAGAACAAAAAAAAAAAAAGGAGGCTCCATTGAAGCCCAAAACATGTAAAAATTAGATAGACCAATGAAACTAATACCTAGTAGTTACAGGACAGTTATTTGGTCACAAGTCTTATTCCTGGTAACCAAACACGCCGTAACAGAGATAATATTGATCTGTATTATTATTATTTTTTTTTGGAAATGTTATGCAATTGTATAAATATGAACAAAAATACAGCATCCCCAGCTTGGGCTGGATCAAGGCCATTGGCCCAAAAATAACAAACTACATGGTCAAAGACCAAACCCAGGAGCCCCAATGGCCTGGTCCATCACTATGCTTGATATTTATCCTGTTAACCCAAAAGCAATACTACAATCCGTTTGATATGCATTTTGTTTTCTACTGTTTCTGTTTTTGGACTATTATAATATTAATTTTGGCAACAAAAACATATTTAGTACTGCCTTATTTTATTTTACACAAATTAATGGCTTAAAACTTTAACGTGATCCTTTTTCAAAACAACACCAAAAACTTTATTTCTGTTTAATAAAAAACAAAACCCCTAAAACAAAGAAATACCAATCCATCATCGACAACATCATCAGTTGGCCATGTCCAGTGGTCTTGGAGGCAACCGAGAGGTGACAAGATCATTCTCCCAATCCTTCAAGATTGATCTTATCTTTTTTCAACCATACGTCTCACTCTCTTCCCTGTTCGCCACTACCCAAGATTGTCATAATTGTATTTGTATTAATGGCTGATTTGTTTATTGAATCTTAGGGGTTGTTTGTTTTTTTATTTTTATTTTTTATTTATTTATCACTCTCTCTTCTTTTTTTTTAAAGTTTGATCGGACTGAGCCCTATCCTCCGGCCGTGTCAAATAAAAATTTAAGACACGTCTAGCATGTGTTGGACAAGTGTTTGAGGTTGCGTCCAATACAAGGCTTTCTCACGTGTCATGCTTCAAAGCCGAGTCACTTCATCAGAATTAGAATTCAAAGTTGAAGTTGAGTATTCGAATGCTGTGCGACTGTGTTTATGGGAAAAAAAAAAAATCCTTAAGTTGATTCTTTGTCCGATCGAATCATTCAGGTAAATTATTGGGATTGTGTGTGTTGGTTGCTGATTGAGCAAAACTGTGGAGATGAATTTGGTACGCAATTTTTATTATTAGAGTATAAGTGCAAAAAAAATTTCAAATAATCCCTGAATCATATTTTGTGCATAAAAACCCCCCCTAAACTATTTCATTTTGTTACAACATACTTTAAGGATTATACTATAGTTCATTAAAGGACCATAATACCCCTTCTTATTGAATTACATTTAATATATATTTCTTATTTAAATAAATTATGAAAAAATTTACATAAATTATGAAAAAATTCATACTAACTTAATGAGATATATTTTTTTTATATTAAATTTGCATAAATTTACTTTCAATTTATTTATTTAATTATTAAAATAAAAAAATTTAGTAGAAAAAATCAATTAATTTTTTAATTTTTAATGAATATATAACACGAAAAGAAGGTATTATAATACGTTTTATTTTAAATAATAAAGTTATAATAATAAGTTAATCAATTTAGAAAATGATACTTACAAATCTATTTATCTATTTTTTTCATTTTTATGATAAATTAATACTAAAAATAAAATTAAGGTAAATAGTATAATTATTATTTATATAAGAGAGAAGATAATAAAAATAATTTAATAAGAAATAAAATTTTAATGAAAAGAGGTCAAATAGTCTTTTGTGATTAATTTGTTCTTAATTGTAACAAATTAATAATTTAGAGGGCGATTTTAATTCAAGAGGTAATTTGTAAAAACGGTCATAGTTTAAGGGATTTTTTTGCGCTTAATCTTTTTTATTATCCTATTATTTTATTGAATTAGTGCAGTATTTTTATTCTGGTAAAAAGATTCTCAGAGCAAAACGACGTAGTTTTGTGCTGGATGCTTTTATCTTCGTGGGATGCTGTCTGCTACCACCCTCTCTCTCTCTCTCTCTCTCTCTAAGCTTCTCTTCTGTTCTCACGCTAGGGTTTTACGATCTCTTACTAGGGCTTTTGCTTCTTTCACACGGTGGGCTCTATACTCTCTTTCCTTCAATCGTATTCAAAACCCTAGAGACAGACGGAATGAAGGTCAAAGTCATATCACGTTCAACAGATGAATTTACTCGTGAACGAAGTCAGGATCTTCAGGTGATTGCTAATATAAACTTCATAGTTTCTCCCTATCTCTGTACATAGCATTTGGTATATACTCTGTTACGCTTTCACTAAAAGTATAATTTTGTGTTGTATTTGAAATTGGATCAGAGGGTCTTTCGTAATTTTGATCCCAAGCTTCGAACTCAAGAGAAGGCGATTGAATACGTTCGGGCTGTTAGTGCTGCTAAATTAGAGAAGGTAATTTTATTTTGAATAAAATTGTTCCATTTTTAGTTTTATTTTATTTTTTATTTTTTTCTTCATTTATGCGTGTGTAATATCATGGTTTTATTTTGTTTTATGAGTCATCAGATATTTGCAAGACCTTTTATTGGAGCAATGGACGGTCATATAGATGCAGTATCATGTATGGCAAAGAACCCGAATCACTTGAAAGGAATATTTTCTGGTTCTATGGATGGAGGTAACTTGGTGACATGGTTATTTGGTTAATTTTCATACCGTTTGAAATTAAAACTTAATTAGATATGTTGTAATGTAGTGGGGTGATGAGGTTGCTGTAAAAGTTCAATTTCTCAGTAATTGAATTTGTAAAAGCCTGGGCACCATTTTTTTTTTTTCAAAGTATTTAGTTTTCTTTGAGCAAACAATTGCTTTGATGTTTGCTCTCCAAATTTAGATGTTGGTGTAAGAAATGCCAGCCAGAAAGTACCTTTGCTTAATATGTAGTTTCATGTGGCTTGTTTCTAGTTGTGCTTACAGGTTGAAGTAACTTCTAAATTTTGATACTGAATAAAATTAATTTGAATTGTGCTATCTGCTGATAGTGTAGCCATCTATCAATGATTAATTTTTCAATCAAATTACGGTGTTCTTTATTAATATATATTACAATATACTGTTTAGTTTATGTTTTTTAAGCATATTAATATTCCTTTTATTTTTGCAGATATTCGCCTTTGGGATATGGCATCCAGGTAATACCAATACATCATATTAATGAACTTTTTCTATCATGATGATCAAATAAACTCTTAGCTTTTGCCATGCCTTTATCTTTTCTATTGTAATCGACTTGCACTTCTTGTAAATTATGTGTAGTGTGTATAATTGTGTATGTGTGTATTCATAGTGGAAGGGTGATGTAGACAAGAGAGCAGCCTTAATTAGCTAAGAACTCAAAGAATTCAGAGTCTGAAAGTTCAAGAACTAGGGCAGAAATTTGGAGGTTTGATAGTAGAAATGTAGAAAACCAAAGGAGAAGTGGTTGTTAATTAAAATAAACAGAGCTATGGTTCAAAATATTAGTAGAGAGAAATGATTGAAAACAACAAAAACCTACTGGAATCACACCAACAGGTCCAGGTATCACACCTAGAGAAGGCCTCACACCCTCACAAATTGTGAATCACTTGCAAAGAAATCTCAAAGATATTTTTATTCATTCCTTGATTGCCTTAGCAAGTTTACATCATACCCTTCTTATAGCAACTTATGACCCTTAGATTACCCCATGATTGAGGTAATCAAAAGTTGACTCTGTAGCATAATAAAAGTAATCACCCCGTAATTGAGGTAATCAATATTTGACTCTAGCATAATAAAAGTAATTACTATGGACGGATGCAATTTGATTGAAATTGATGCAAGCTACCATAATTATGCAATTTGACCAAATCCCCCTAATTATGCAAGACTCCAAGTGGACCTATCGTCTAGCATGTGCCAAATTAAGGTTTGAGCCTTAGAACCATCCTTGCCACGCCTTTTATATACCTTAAAAGGCTGCTGCCACTGTTCTCTATCAATTCTCCCCAGCTTGGAAAAACTCGACCCCGGCGAGATAAATGCATGAAATTGTTCATAGAGGTCTGGAGCTAGATGTTGGAACTCACTATCGCTAATCCATGTACAATCAGAAAGTGGCCGTCCTTTCCACTTAACGAGGAATTTTTGATAACCGCCAGCTCTTGTTGAAACAAGTTGATGATCAACAACATCTTCTATTTCCTCCTTTACATGTGGGGCTGGGGGAAGGCGAGTGGTAGGATCAACAAGAAATGGATCAGCAAAATGGCCTGAATGCAAGGTGAGATCTTCAATGTTGAAGACTTTACTGATACCCATCTCTTCTGGTAGGTCAAGAACATAAGCATTGGAGCTAATTTTCTTGAGAACTTTGTATGGGCCAGCACTCTTTGCGTGAAGCTTCTTATAAGCACCTTTAGGATATCATTCCGGTCTTATTCGCACCATAACCATATCTCCTTCCTCAAATTCAGCAATCTTCCTCCGCAAATCAGCTTGTGTTTTGTAAGTCTCATTGCTTAGTGCAATCTTCCTTCGAACTTCCGCATGGATGTCTCTGGTATGCTTATTAAAAGCATCAGCTTCAGCACTAGGGCGTGCCACAATTGGTAAAGGAACTAAGTCAATTGGTTTCCGAGGACATAAACCTGTCACAATCTCAAACGGGCTGCGCACTGTGGATCTGTTTACAGAACTGTTGTAGGCAAATTCAGCCATAGGAAGAATCTGGTCCCAGCTACTAATATGGTCACCAACAAGATAGCGAAGCAAATCACCCAAGCTGCGATTAATAACCTCAGTTTGGCCGTCAGTTTGGGGGTGAAAAGAAGAGGAAAACTTCAGCCTTGTATTCAGCATCTTCCATAATGTGCGCCAAAAATAACTCATAAATTTTGTATCTCGATCAGAAACAATGGTGTTTGGCAATCCATGAAGCCGAACAACTTCTTGAAAGAAAAGCTTGGCAATGTGGACAGCATCGGATGTCTTGGAACAAGGAATGAAGTGTGCCATTTTTGAAAAACGATCCACAACAACAAATATAGCATCATGACTGCGACTTGTTTTAGGCAACCCAAGAACAAAGTCCATGCTTAAATCTTGCCACGACTCATGAGGGACTGGGAGTGGCGTATATAAACCTGTATTTTTCTTTCTTTCCTTGGATATTTGACAAGTTTTGCAATGAGAAACAATTTTGGCCACATCTCGTTTCAAACTTGGCAAAAAAAAACGATCTTCCACCATGGCAATAGTCTTATCTCTTCCAAAATGACCTACTGCCCCACCAGCATGCAACTCCCATATCACATGTCACGAAGAGACGTCTTAGGCAAACAAAGTTGAGTTCCTTTGAAGAGATAACCATCATGTACCGAATAATCAGGATATGTACCCTGCTGTCCAGCTATCAAATCAGCATGTATGATGCTAAAGTCCGTGCAAGATAAGTAATCTCGTTTAAGCATATCGAAACCAAGAACTTGAACAGCCATGGAGGCAAGAATATGAACAACTCGGCTAAGTGCATCGGCTGCCTTGTTCTCAACACCAGCTTTATGTTTGATGACAAATGAGTACTCTTGCAAGAATGAAACCCACTTCCCATGTCGGTGGCTTAACTTCCTTTGGGAGTTAATATATTTGAGGGCCTCGTGATCAGAATACAAAACGAACTCCCTAAAAAGAAGGTAATGACGCCAGTAGCGAAGTGCTTGAATCACAGCGTAAAATTCTCTGTCATAAGTGGAATACCTTTGCTTTGCTTCATTAAGTTTCTCACTAAAATATGCAACCGGATGTCCTTCTTGACTGAGTACGCCTCGAATTCCGACCTGTGAAGCATCACATGCAACTTCAAACACTTTTGAGAAGTCTGGATGGCGTAAAATAGGAGCTGCAGTCATTCTTTTCTTCACTTCTTCGAAAGCCTCTGCTATTGCGTTTGTCCAAACAAACTGGCTGTTCTTCATACAATTGGTGATAGGGGCCATTATTGTGCTGAAATTTCTAATAAATTGCCGATAGAATGAAGCTAGCCCATGAAAACTCCGTGCTTCCTGCAATGTGTTGGGAATTGGCCAATCTAGAATTGCTTTCACTTTATCAGGATCAGCTTCTACCCCTTTGGAAGAAACAACAAAGCCCAAAAACACCACACTCGGCAACATGAAGGAACGCTTCTTCAAGTTCATGTAAAGCTTCTCTTGGCAGAGAACTCTCATAACTTGTTGAAGGTGGGAAATATGTTCCTCCCTCGTTTTGCTTTAGATTAAAATTTCGTCTAAATAAACAATCAGAAAACGACCAATAAAGGGCCGCAATACCTGAGTCATGAAGCGCATGAATGTACTAGGGGCATTGGAAAGACCAAATGGCATAACAAGCCACTCGTAGAGTCCATCTTTTGTCTTGAAAGCTGTCTTCCATTCATCCCCGGGCCTTATGCGAATTTGATGGTAGCCACTTTTCAGATCTATCTTTGAAAATATACAAGAACCAGCCACCATGTCTAGCAAATCATCGATTCGATGAATAGGAAACCGATACTTGATTGTAATCTTGTTGATGGTGCGACTGTCAATACACATGCGCCAACTATCATCCTTCTTTGGTGTGAGCAAAGCTGGGACAGCACAAGGACTTAAGCTTTCCCGGATAAATCCTTTGGACAGCAGCTCATTAACTTGCCTCAAAAGCTCGGCATGCTTGCTTGGATTCAAACGATAAGCTGGAAGGTTAGGCAATGGAGATCCCGGTACCAAGTCGATCGCATGCTGGATATTACGTAGAGGAGGGAGTTCATTAGGGAGATCTTCAGGAGATAAATCTGAGAAATCTGACAGCAAATTGGCGACCTCTGATGGCATTGAAGAATCATGAACAGCAGCAGTTTCTTTGATTTCCCTTGCTACAACAGCATATACAACACCCATCTCTTTACTTTCCAATTGAAACCTCTTCTTGGAAAGGAGATTGAGGGGCTTTTTCTTGTTTTTCGCATCATCTACAGCCTGTCCACCTTTATATTTCTCCATTTCAGCTGAGGACATAGGCTTCAAAATAATTTGCTTGTTGTTAATCAAGAAAGTGTATGTTTTCTCCTTCCCACAATGATACACATCTCGATCATAAATCCAAGGCCGCCCAAGAAGAATATGTGTCACTTTCATGGGAATTACATCACACCAAACAGAATCATTATAAGCTCCACAAGAGAAAGAAACGAGACTACGTTGAGTTACCGGAATAGAAGTACTATCTATCCACGCCATTTTGAATGGTTGTGGATGTGGTTGGACTGAAAGCTTGAGGCGCTCAACCGTGGCTACAGACACAACATTCATGCAACTTCCGCCATCAATAGTGACCGAGCTTGATTTCCACAACGAACTAGCATTTGAAAAATAGATGTGCGCCGCCAATCTTCATCTTCAACTTTAGGGGCTGCAAGGATGTGCCTCACAACGGAGATTGATGGCACATCTTCATCCTCTTCTAGATCATCAGGGTTGTAGATTCCATAGTCAAACATGTTCCCATTGTCCTCTCCCCCATGTTCTTCAGGCTCTTCTTCAGGCATTATCCCAATGTGTAAATTTTTCTTTGGACATTGGTATGCCATGAGACCTGTTTCTCCACATTTGAAGCACTTGTTACTCCTTCCACTACCTTTGTTGGCCACAATACTCTTCCCTTTAGGATCAGCCATGTTAGAAAAGGGCAGTTTTGATCCAGCATTTCCACCAGTCGGCTGCGTTGTTACTGATTGTGTGCTGCGATTTCGATCACTGGACTTCTTGGGTGCTGCATCCCAGGTTTGATATCCAGATCTTCGAGCCGTTTGATAACTCAAGTATTCCTCCATGTCCAATGCAACCTGAAAAGCATGTTCAACACCATATAATGACTGGCGAAGGAATTCCCTTCTGATATCAGACCTTAGACCAGCCTTGAATCTTGCAAGTGTTTGCCGCGGGTCTTCCACAACTTGACTTCTAGTCTTTAACTCATCAAATCTTTGCATATATTCTGCGACTGACAGGCTGCCCTGCTTTAGATTGATAAGTTGATCACACAGTTTGTCATGGTAATTGGCCGGCATGTATTTCTCTCGAATCTTTGCCTTCATTTCTTGCCATGTGCCAAATTAAAGGATAATTAGGGGGATTTGGTCAATTGCATAATTATGGTAGCTTCCACTTGGAGTCTTGCATAATTAGGGGGATTTGACCAAATCCCCCTAATTATGCAAGACTCCAAGTGGACCCATCGTCTAGCATGTGCCAAATTAAGGTTTGAGCCTTAGAACCCTCCTTGCCACGCCTTTTATATCCCTTAAGAGGCTGCTGCCACTGTTCTCTATCAAAGGGGCTGGAGGATTTTCTTTGTTTTCTTTCTTTCCATATTTTTTAATATATATATATATATATATATTCCTTTTATGCAGAAGATTCCTTTGGATGCTGAGTTTATGTTTGATACTTCACGAAAGCATGTTTAATATTTTGTTTGGATATTTGGAAAAGATAGACAAAGTTCTTTTAGCAAATATAATGCATAGGAATGTATAGCTTTTGACTTGACTGGCTGATCTAGTCCCCACCAATTTTCATTGAACAAATACTTTATTCCAAAATCTTGGTTTAATGAGCTCTCCTATATTTCCAAGCTGGATTGCAGTCCCGGCAGAGCAATTTGGGCAAATTAATCTAGTTTGTCTGCTTATATGTATTCCCCTTTTCATTTGTGATGCAGCCTGATATTAAAGACCTTTGATTGCGGGCGGAGTATGTCTTTTAAGGCTACTGAGCATGGGACCATGAGAAAAATGATATGAAAGCTTCTATGTTATGGTTATTAGAGTTTAATTAGGAGTTTTTTTTTTTTTTTAAACATTATTGTTGTATTTTCTTATGTTTTACGTTTGTAGGGTTCTAGGAATGGAATTTTAGGGGTTTAAACTGTTACTAAGTTGGGTATTGTTAAGTTAGCAAGTAATGACATGCTGCTAGTTCTTTGTGTGGTCGATAAATAGGCTTTTTTGAGGAGAAAAAGTGGTATTCATGGGAACTTGTTAATAAGAGTGATTATTTTGGTGAAGCCTCTCTCTCTCTTCTTCTTCTTGCCATCTCTATGTCTTTTCTCTTACATTAAAGAGGCTTGCTTGTTGCGTTTGCATCCTCTTTGTTATTTTCTTCTTTTATCATTCCTATTGTTTTTTATTTTTGTTTTTTATTTTATTTATTTTGTGTGTGTCAGACGAATGGAATTGGTGGGACCTCCCTCTCCTATCTTCGCTCTCTCTCTATCTATCTATCTATCTATCTTCACCGTCCTTGTTTCCTCTCCTATCTTCGCTCTCTCTCTCTCTATCTATCTATCTTCACCGTCCTTGTTTCCTCTCCTATCTTCTCTCTCTCTCTATCTATCCATCTTCACCGTCCTTGTTTCCTTCCTTAGTTTCACACTGTATGCTGTATAAAATATATAAAACTCAAGATGATCCATTTCGTTTGAAAAAATTATGGTGACTTGGATTGAATAACCCTATTCCCCCTTCCCCCTTCCCCCCAAGGTTTAAAGGTTTCCCTAATTTTTACTTATTAGTTATTACATAAAGGGTCATCTAAATTTCACATACCAGTCATTGTAAGATTATTGTTCCATATAAAACTAATTCTGCTTGGGGCTTTTTTAGGTGTCTAGAGCACATTCCCAGGGTTGACTTTAATTTCTTTTCTTTTAATTTGCTTGATGTACAAATCTAGAATAGTGTTGTGTGCACTTTATTTAACGGAGGGATTAGGTCAGTCAAGTTTGTAGACTTCATGGTTTAAGCACATGGAAGAAAGGTTGGAGGGTCTGTAAATAAGAGGGGATGTTAATTAGAATGGTATCTATACGTGACAGTTAAGAAGCACGGACACGGATACGACACGACACGACACGGACAAGGCGACACGGCAAATCCTAAAAAATTAGGACACGGATACGGCGGGGACACGGCGAATAATATATATATTTATATATGTGATGTAGTACTTTAAAAATTAAGCGTTCTACTATTTTTCATCAACCTCACAATAAAAAAAATACGCAAGTCAACTAATGAACTATAAGAGAACAACACTAAATCATAAACCAAATAAAAAACAAGACATTAGAATGATAACTTATATCATTTAATCATCATTGCAACTTTACTCCAAATACAATAGCATAGTCATAACATTCGTGATTGTTTAACCATAGTTACAGCAGTCAGCAACGAAAGCAGTAAGCACAGCAGTCAACCAAAGAAAGGACAGCAATGAACGACTCATCAAGGAAAGAATGAAATAAATTCATACGTGTTTACAAGTCAGTAAGTCACAGACTCACAGCAGCTGAAATTAAATCAAGAATTAATTCATATTTCATCACAAGTCACATGCAACAGCTGAAATGATATCAAGGATGAAGAAGAGGAAAACAAATTCATCAAAAAAAAAAAAAAAAAAAAAAAAAAAAAAGTGTTGGACCCCTAAAATAGGACACGCGTGTTGGACACACTGCAATGGCGTGTCCACGGAGTTTCCGCACCGTGTCTGAAAATTAAAAAAAAAAAAAAAAAATTTCTAGACACGGATTTTGTCGTGTCCACACGTGTTGGGGCGTGTCCGACTCGTGTTTGTGTCCGACACGTGTCGGACACGGATTCTTCGCCATATTAGGAGTGTCCGTGCTTCCTAGCGTGACAGGCTGTAGAAATTGCAGAGAAATAGTTGCTGGATATTCTGAAAGAAAGTACTGTATATTTTTGTGCTAAATTGAAGGCTGCAATGTAGGGGTAAAGGTTAGAGTTGATGAGGCTTGTTAGTTGGTATTTTGGAGGATAAATGCTCTGGAGTTGTGGCCATAACCTGTGAGTGGTTCTCACAGACATGGAGAGAATAAGAAAGGACGAACAAGAATTTAGGAGTCTTAACTTGAAACACTTTTTTGATAGTGGCCATTATTCATTTTTGTCCCAGGTGGCTAGGTTGCTGGGAGCGGCAAACTTGTTGCAAATGTAACGTTTGACATTATTTTAAGAAAGTGGCTGCCTTCAAAATTTCGTTATAAACTCTATTTAATTGAATGATTTAATGGATATATGTAAGCCGACATCTAATTCTAGTAGGACTAAGACTCCCAAGTAATACTTGGCTTCTGATTTTTTTCTCCCCTATTAAAGACTGCAGATAAAAACCCAATACATGACTTTATCCGTAACTGGACACTTGGACCACTACTACATCCCATATCTAGCAAATTTTGGAATTCTATAATACCCTTGATTTTTAGAATATAACAAATTGTGAATCGTTCAGAAACAAATTGACCTACAATAAGTATAAAAGAACACTTGATTGAAGGTCGAAAGCAGGTACTGTATGAAGTTTTAAATTTTGCCATTTTTTTCTTGTTTATGAAATCTTTGTTTTTTCTTATTCGTTGTATTCATGCAGCATTAGTTTATTTTAAATTCTTTTTAACTAATGAAATAGTCATGATATGTAGTTTATGATTGCAAATTCACACCAAAGAAAACAAATTTATCTTAATGAAGTTATTGTCCTATATGTTTGAAAAATTATTTTTTATTATGAAAATAGGCGGACAGTTTGTCAGTTTCCTGGTCACCAAGGTGCTGTACGTGGTTTGACAGCATCTACTGATGGGCGCATTCTTGTATCATGTGGGACTGATTGCAGGTAAGCAAAATTTTTTCTGATGTAGCTTTTACTGTGAGGTAGTAATGTGAATTTATGCATCTGTCTTGGAGAATATCTGTATCATTTGTAAAACTTGAACCTTTTCGTTTCAGTGTCAGACTCTGGAATGTTCCTTCTGCTACTATGTCAGTTGACTCATATGATAATTCTGCCAAGGTAAGTGCTTTAATCTATTTTCATGTACTTATTTGTTATGCTATTAAAAAAATTGTATATTTCCTTCCAACCTGTCTGAACAATATGCAATTTAAACTTTCAGCCATTGGCAGTTTATGTTTGGAAGAATGCGTTTTGGTAAGGCTTCCTTTTTTAGTTTCCATATGTTCAATTATTATGGTATCATTATAATGCCATTAGTTTTCAATTTCCTTTTTGATCTTAAACCTGTTTATTAATTTCTATTTTCTAGGGCCGTTGATCACCAATGGAATGGCGAGCTGTTTGCCACAGCTGGTGCCCAAGTAGATATATGGGATCACAATAGGTTTTGATCTGGTTTTTTATTTTTTCTCTCCTTGAATACTTAAGTACTATTTTACATGTGGTATGTCTGCCATAAACAGGTCCCAGCCGGTGAACAGTTTTGAATGGGGAAAGGATACAGTTTTATCTGTTCGATTTAATCCTGGAGAACCAAACATCTTGGCAACATCAGCTAGGTATGTACGGCTATACAACTAAAAGATTAATTATCATATGATTGCCCATGCAGATACATGATTGAATAGTAATTAAAAGTTCTTAATTGATTTAAAATATTTCAATTATGTTGTATTTGTTGTACTTCACTTTTTGTGTGTGTCTCTTGAGTATGTAGTATTTCATCAATTCGATTTACAAATATGCTGGTTTTTCTGTGCTTCGCTATAATTTATAGACTAGTATCATTTATAGTTTGTAGAAGCCATCATTTCATGATGAGAGCTTTTGACCAAGGTAAAGGAATACTGCCTTTGTTGGTGATACTTGAAATTCCATGTAGAAATCCCAAACCAGTATCTGGCTGATGCTTTTAACAATATTGGAAGTTTTGTTAGCTTTTAAGTTTGAATGTAGTGGTACTAAAGACTTACTACTTTATTTAGTTATTTAGGGGTGGTTTGGCCAGTGTTATTTTTTCTATTTTTTGTTTCCTAGAAATTAGAATCAGTTTTTTTGGTTTATTAATGGTTTACAAAAAATTAAACATGTTTGGTAATGTATATTTGTTGCAGATAGTTTGGAAGCATAAAATAAAAAATGTGTTTTGAAACCCAAATGCTCTGAGTTGCTAATTAAGAATGTGTGTATATATCTGTATCTATATACATATCTGGAATGTATGTATATATATTTGTATATGTATTTATATATATATGTTTGTACGTGTGCACAAAAATTATCTGCTCCCCATCGTGGAGGGAGATTTGTGTATGACAGCAGTTGTATGTTTTCCAGTTTCTCTACTCTTACTGTATTTAAGCATCCCTTTCTGTAACTGATGTTCATACATCAAAAAGGGTGGTTTTGTTGCGTAAGGATGCTTAAATTAATAAGGAAATTGACTTTGAAATACAGCTGTTCAACAGACAAGATGTGAATCACACACAAATCTCTCCATGACAGGGAGCAAGAGATCATTAAAATATATATATATATATATATATATATATATATAGATGTATGTATGTATATGTATATATACAAATGCATATATGTGTGTATACATATGTGTATCTATATAGATGCAAGTACAATGCCTTACATCCAAGCACTTGGAAGCGAGATTTTATTACTTCTATTTTTCCGTCTTTTTGAAGTGTTACCAACTTTTACAAAGCTGCAACAACAAAACCAAACACATTTTCGATCCTTTTAGCTGTTTCTTTGCATTCCACAATAGAAAATACAAAACAAAAGTTGTTGCCGAGGGCCCTAAGTATGCCATAATTCTTACTTCACGAGGAGATTAAAGTGGGAAGGAATATATGCATGGTTTGGCGAACCGGCCAGTTCGCTATTTTGGGTCTCCGGATACTGGAGAGTCAAGAATTGCATATGAATCCGCCGATTCTTAGAGAACCAGCCGTTTCTATGACCGAACCGGCCGGTACTATTAAAGAACCAGGCTGATTAATTTAAAATGGGCCTGTTCATCTTTTTTAGCCTAGAACAGGCCCATGTCACTTAGGAACATTTTCCTTGCGCTCCTATGTGATGGATTTTTATATTCACTAGTGCTCATATCTTCTTTGCCTTTTCTCAATGTGGGACTTGGACAAATGGTAAAGAAGATGTGAAAAGGTTTTTTATATTTCCAAATGCTCACATCTTCTCTTTGCCTTCTCCCAATGTGGGACTTAGACAAAAGTAAAGAAGACTTGAAAAAACAGAAGTAGTTTCTCTTGTAGAAGATATACATTAAGGACCACAAAACTTTTTTTCAGTACATTTTTAAATTGTTAAAAAATCTTGAGCAGTACCATCTCTTGCAAGTTGCAACCACCACTGAAGCAGAAGAATCCAATGGACTGCAAGGAAGATGCACAAAACAAGTATAATTTTCATGGAAAGTGGACGCCCATTGAATTAGAGGGTTTAATCCCAATCTTTAACTAAATTAGAGCTTTTCCTTTTTCACATGGCCTTAGCCCAGAACAAGCACATGTCACTTAGGAACATTTTCCTTGCGCTCCTATGTGATGGATTTTTATATTCACTAGTGCTCATATCTTCTTTGTCTTTTCTCAATGTGGGATTGGACAAATGGTAAAGAAGATGTGAAAAGGCTTTTTATATTTCCAAATGCTCACATCTTCTCTTTGCCTTCTCCCAGTGTGGGACTTAGACAAAAGTAAAGAAGACTTGAAAAAATAGAAGTAGTTTCTCTTGTAGAAGATATACATTAAGGACCACAAAACTTTTTTTCAGTACATTTTAAAATTGTTTTAAAATCTTGAGCAGTACCATCTCTTGCAAGCGGCAACCACCATTGAAGCAAAATAATCCAATGGACTTCAAGGAAGATGCACAATACAAGTATAATTTTCATGGAAAGTGGATACCCAATGAATTAGAGGGTTTAATCCTAATCTTTAACTAAATTAGAGCTTTTCCTTTTTCGCATGACCTCACTACATTGAATCAATTACTTCTCATTTTCAATATTCTCTTTTGAAAAATTTATCAAAAAAAAAAAAAAAATTCTCTTTTGAAATAAGTTTATTAGATATTCTTGATTCCCTCATTCAATCAAATTAGAATCTCTTTTTTAGTTTTAACATAATGATGCTAGTTTTTATTGAACGAAAAAAAAAAACTTGAACTTTATGCTGTTCTTCCAATGCCTTCAAAGTAACACTAGGACATAAGATTTGTGTTGGGGTCTGACATATAAATGTTTTCTTGCATGGAAAATGATGTGTATAATGATTTGATACGTTTATTATCGACTTTATTAATCAGTTATTATTCTCATATTTCTATTTTTCTAATGAGCTCCATAATCAGATTGACTTGGTTATTTAATTTTGTTACCCTTACATTATGAATTTTGTATTCTGTAATCACTTAGTTTACTTATGCTAGCCATCTTTTATTTTTTTTCTCTTTTTGTAGTGACCGTAGCATAACAATATATGATCTGCGAATGTCTTCACCGGGAAGGAAGATTATCATGAGGGTATTTATATCATGTTTTCTTATCATAGTTTTTAATTTTTTATATAGTTGTAAAATCTACTCTATATATATTTTAATAAGTAAATTCTACTAAATTTTTTTGAAGCATTATGTTGCATATATTGATTGATGTTCTCGCCAAATGAATAGTGTCAAAAAACATGACTCATACCAAATTTTGTAGATTTCCTTCTTCTTTCTTGGCTTTTTGGTTGGTGTTGTACCTGCTACTACAATAACTCTTCAAATGATTTTTTTTTCCTGAATTGCGTATGATAATTTATTTATAATGAAATTCTGTGTTGTTGAATTTTTTTATTTTATTATTAAAACAAAGTAGAATGGTCTTTTAGAAAAGGTTTAATTTGGAAATCGATTGATTGACAAGTTGATACCTAGAAGTTATGCAGGTGCTAAATTGTCTATCTCTGTACATATGTATGTCACTTGCCTGACTGTTCATAGGATAATGACAATTCTTTGTAATAGATTGAAACTTGTTTTCTCTCTCTCTCTTGCCCCCTCCCTCCCTCCCTCCCTCTCTTTTCCATATTCCTGGGGAAGCTTCAATTACTGGAAAGTCTCTTCTTCATGGAGTGATTGATGATTCGTTGTTTTTATGTCCATATATTTTAGAATGCTCCAATTCCTTCAAATTTTCTTCTTCAGAGAGGGATTTCCAATTCATGGTTTTCAGGATCTTTTCAAACAAATATGGATGATTGTTTAACAAAGATTGTAACACTTACATCAATACAGGAAAGGTCTTTGGTATGTATTATTAAACAAAGAAGGCTGTTTGCTGAATCATGGTTTCAGATGTGCATTTTTTTTTTTTGTTGAATTGATGTTAAAATCTTAAATTTACTTTTCCTTCAAAATGTAAATATATGTTAAAACTAGGTGTGGTGAATCTTATTGGTTTCTGATTAAAAACTAAATGTGTTAGCAAACTGATTTATACCGGTCATGGCTGGACAATGATACCGATTTCGCTTTAACATGGTTGCCTAGTAACGCTGTCTTGCTTTGTTATTTTTCTGGGTTCATTTTCTGCGACCTATGTATAATATATACATGCATATGCTATTTTACCTCTTTAGTTTGCTCATGCTGACTTGTTCTTTCTTGTTACAGACAAAAACTAATTCTATATCTTGGAATCCGATGGAGCCAATGAATTTCACATCTGTAAGCACAATAACAGAAACTATATCATTAACAGTTCCCATCTTACCATCCCATTCCTCTTTACACACCCACACACACCCACCCACCCACCCACACACACACACATATATATGATATTTTACTCAATGATCAGCAGTAGTTAGATTTTTGGATATTGACACCATAGAAGGATGTAGAACTTATACTGCAAATTAATTGTGTAAGAATACCTACCGAGAACTTTGTGGTTATGGGTTGGCCCTGATTGATATCACCTTTTCACTTGCATAAGTTCCTAAATGAACCTACCTTGTCCTCCAACTAGATATGGGTTGCATGATGTTACTTGCCAACTAATCAGTATGGATTTTCCTGATTTGGTAGGCTTGTAAAAGTTTGGACTCCAATCAGAGAAACACTCTGATCTCCTAATTCTATGCACCACTTGATATTTGAACTCTGCAGTTCCCTATATATAGCATTTTAGTACTTGCCTATTAGTTATCTACATTTTATGTCAATGTAGGCAAACGAAGACTGCAATTGCTACAGCTATGATGCTAGAAAATTGGATGAAGCCAAATGTGTACATAAAGATCATGTTTCTGCAGTGTAAGATTGCAGATATATAATTATTGCATCGCATGTTTTCTTTTTCTTTTTCTTTTTTTCCTTTCCTTTTTTTTTTTTATCAAAATTATTTCTCACCTTCTTTTAGACAATTTATCCACGACAATGCTTTTCCAACTCTTTTGCAGGATGGATATTGATTACTCACCAACTGGTCGCGAATTTGTGACTGGATCTTATGACAGAACAGTGAGTTCTCTCTCATTTAGTGAATCAGGGAAATTTTAGCTCCTTCATAATTTTTAATGAGAGAAGGCACTGTGAGTTAATGGTGGTATCCTTTGCAGGTGAGAATATTCCAGTATAATGGTGGTCACAGCAGGGAAATTTATCACACAAAGAGAATGCAAAGGTCTGTACCACATTAAAGCTTTAATTTACAGCCTTTATGGGTTTTCCCTGTACATTACAGGCCCATAAGCACAACTTGCAGTTTCAATGATATAACTGTTGTATCCTAGAGTGAATGGTATTTTAGTACAGTTGAGAGATGATATATTAATTTTACTACTTAATTATATGTACTGACTGAAATTTACTATCAACACAGGGTATTTTGCGTCAAATATAGCTGTGATGCAAGTTATGTTATCTCGGGGAGTGATGACACCAACCTTCGTCTTTGGAAAGCTAAAGCATCTGAACAGATGGGAGTTGTATGTATTTCTTCCTTCTGACACTTTCCATTTCCCATTCTAATGTTCAAACCGTGGCTATATTTTGAGGCTGTTATTCTCTTGGAGTCACATTTTTGGAGATTTATCATTTTCAATTTGTAGATGGAACTCACTCAGGCAAAAAGTTGTAATTGGTTCACTTTCCAAATATAATCACCATGGCAATTATTGTTTTCCAATCTTTACTTTTGACACTTTTACCCTAGTTATTTAAATTCGTGTTTGTGCCTGGTCTCAGTGGTGACATTTAGGATTAAGAAAATTTTAATATGGTTTCTTGATTGAAAAAAAAAAAAAAAAAAGTGATGAAAAAACCAAATAAATCAATAAAACATGTCATAATCTATTCAACCTCAATTCCATAGGAGCAAGTCAGGAAGATTAAGAGAGAGCCATCTGAGTTGATTCATTCTCAATAGCCATGAAATGATCATCTTTTTTATGTTCCTTATATCGATAAATGCTCCTATTGTTCAGAGTCTCTGAAGGATGAGATCCATGAAAGGTAATGCACAGAGAATTATGTTAATTTCAGGCTCTAAATATCAGACTACAGCAGTTGCATTTGTCTCTAGCACCCTGATAATTGTTACATTTTGGCTTTAATATTTCAGTCTTGTAGCTCTGAATTAAAATCGTGTCATATTTTTTTGCATCATAAGCTGAATGCTGACCCACTTATGTTGCTATCCAGATTTTACCCAGGGAACGTAAGAAGCACGAGTATATGGAAAAAGTCAAGGATCGCTACAAGAACCAGCCTGAGGTCAAGCGCATTGTGAGGTATTATTAATTTTGAAGCAATTGTTCCAAAATGGGATTCTGGTTATTTGGAGAGCTCTTTGCAATTGTGTAGGGTTTTAGAAAGAGGGCCACCATATGCTTTGCTGTGAGATTTCCCTTTTATCCATATGTGCTATTTTTCTTGGATATTCATTTGATCAATTTGTGAGGCTATGTGTGATTTTGCCGCCAAAATTACTATGTAGCTACTTCCATCACTTTTGAACTTAAAAAGTCTAATTCTGTCCCCCATAAAGTTGATTAACCTTGCCCTTTCCAACATGGATCCATCTGATCCAAACGCTGAAGTTTTGGTGGTGGAGCCCACATGTGGCTGACTAGAAATTGTTCATGCACGTGACCGAAAACTGCTAGTTTATGCTTTATGAGACTCACAACTGATAAGTGGTAGTACACACTGGGATGTTTTACCATCTGAAGGGTCATCATCCCTGTTTGAGGATATAAGGAAGGCAGGTGTTTTTCATATTATCTGGACTATCAACAAAGGGTAAAATACTACTCCCTCCGTCCCAATTTTAGTGTCATGTTTGGGGAGTAGTAATTTTTAAGGGGACATGTGGGACATACATTGTCTGCCTAGAAAGTTACTGCATTGCCCTTTTAAGTTTTGAAGGTTTAAGTTTGAAATTTAAAACTTGAAGGACATATATGGAAAGATGTGAAATATATTGTTTAAAAAAGGAAGGAGGACTCTTATTTTGGGACAGATAAAAAAGGAAAGTATGACACTTATTTTGGGATGGAGGGAGTACATAAATGCCACTGAAGGAAGTCCCATCCCCATTCCCCCCGAACAGCCCAATCAATTTTTTTGGCAGGCCTCATGTTGGTTTTAGCTTTTCATTCTCGCTCATCATATCCATCAAAACCTTGAGTCATTCTAACAATATATATATCTCATTCTAGCAGAGGAATGTACCTCGTTCGATTATCTTGGACAATACTTATTTTTCTAGAACGGAAATCCTTAACTGGGATTGATATACCTGTCATGGATTAGCACATTGTCTCTTAAAGAATTATTTTCCAAGTTATGTGCTGAGATTCAAGACTTGAAGAACAGACACCACTCACTTCTTTCTGTTTGGTGATGATTATGCAGGCATAGACACTTACCGAAACCAATATACAAGGCAGCTTCACTCAGACGTATTATCGTCGAGGCTGATAGAAGAAAAGAAGAGAGGAGGAGGGCACACAGTGCCCCAGGAAGCATGCCAAGGGAGCCATTACGTAAAAAAAGAATTATCGCGGAAGTGGAGTGATTTCTTTATTTGGAATTGCATTTAGTTTCTGTTTGTGCATACCTTGAATTTCTGAAGTCGAGAGTCTTTAGAAGACAAACTTCTCCTTTATCAACACGGGCTATAAGAGGTGGGGTTCATTTGATTCTTGGTCCTACTCTTGCAGCTACCGAAGATTGAAAGGTAGACAATGAGAGAGAATATGTAGGAAGGCTTAGTTTAAAAGCAAAGGAGATTGAGTTCTGAATCTGCAACAGTTTTGATAGACCTAGTACTTCTGTCCAACTTTTTGAAACATTAGGCTCTTTGATATTCTATTACAGTAATGTTATAAATTTGTTGTAATCTTAAAACTATATTATAGGTAATCTCAACTGGACCTTTGGATGTGTATTATTTGCCGCTTCCTTATATTGGCATATTAATCTTTTTGCTCATTTTTCTTGAAATGCCAATTTACTAGGCATATTGGAGTTATTTTGTATTGGTAGTGACAGAGTTGAGTAGCGAATTGGTAAGATATTAGCAATGTACAATATAAAGTGAATTATGCATTTCTTGGTTGATAATTGTAACTATAGTTCCTAGGTAACTATGGAAGGCATATATTCTTTTTCTTGTTCTTTTTTTGTAAAGAGATTCGGGCTGTTTTTCTCTGGAAGCCACCTTTTTCTTTTTGCCCTTTATCCAGAGATACAGCATATCTAGAATAATCCAACGTGAATAGCAGTTGTTACCTTTACGTCTTCTATATGGGTAGTCTCTAAATCATCTCAATTTTGAGCTTGGTTTTAGCGAATGTTGTAATCTCCTTTGCTAATGTTGTCATATCATAACCAGCTTATTATGAGCATACAAAGATATCAGGTACCGAATACATTCCTCAGGTCCACAGGGTCTGTTAAGTTTTCAGTAATTTCGTTTAGGGCTTCGTTTGCATTTGTTTATTATCTGAACAAGATAATATTCTTCTTGTTTGCTAAAAAAAGATGAGTTGGAGTTCTGGACTTATATAATATAATTTTTTTTAAAAAGGAAAATAAATTTACAGAACTATAAAAAGAATTAGTCTGTTTTTGACATATTTTCTTGGAAAAATTGTCAACAAAATAAATTTTCTAAATCTTTTTTTTCAGTCATTCAATCCTTGGAAAACAAAATATTTATTTTTTTGAGCTAATCATGGACCTCATCCAGTCTATTAGACTCTCTCGTTACCTGCTAAAACTAATTGTGTTTTCCATTGGTGGCAAATGGCAGTCTGTTTAGTCGCAGCTCGCGGGTTAACCAAGCCTAGAGAAGGTCCCTCAAGAAACTGAAGATACAAGAAATTCCTCTTCTCTTTCTCTTTCAACCCAAAAAAAATATCTCCTCTATTCTTTCCATTACTTCTCCTATTTATAGATATTTACAAATGTCGATGGACTGCTGGATCTAGGCCCGTTCCTCCATGAGTTCTGGTCATCTTTGATGGGCTTATTCGCGTTCGGCCCATATGGCAGTGTCTCTCTATGGGCCTGACCCATCTGTACGGACCGGATGTCGCGTTTGCAAGTCATATCTGGCCCATGTCATCTCGGGCCTCCTCAACTGCCCCCATAATTACCCCTTGTTTAATAAGGGGGTAATTATTGAAGGCGTCTCATCATGACGTTGACGGCTCGAGAAACCCACATGGGGGAGCGGACAGTCAGATCCAGAATCAATGTTCCGGGGCTCGATGAATTTCTCGCCTTCCTGACGCTTCGGCCCTCGGGTCCCCCTCGCCTTTATAAGGTTCTAGAATACCACTTCATGCCTTTTTACCGTCTCTATCATCAGTCAAATCTCTCTCTCTTTAGAACAGTGCTAAGCTTTTTCCGGTGAAATCCTTCAAGAGTCATTCTTCCAGCGGTCTTGCAGTGCTCTTTGTTGCTTTCTACCTCAGAGGTTAATTTTGTTCCTTTTTACTTTCGGCAGGCTTCTTTTTACCCTTTTAGATCCTTCAAACACTTCCACCATGGTTGTAGATCTAGATGTTCTTCGTATGAGACTTAGACTTCCTGACAACATCCAAGTTAGGGTTTGCCCTAAGGATGTTAATATTGTGACCGGTGCCGGCCTCTTTCCCGGCGAAGTTTTATTTTCAAACCTTCAACTGAATGTCGTTAGGTTCCCTCTGCACCCCTTCTTTAATTATGTTTTCAATAGACTGGGGATATCCCTCCTGCAGGTAAACCCCAATTTCTTTAGAATCATATCCGTTATGCTACTGTTGGTTCGTGACAGAAGTCTGGACCTTGACCTCATAGATCTTCTTCTGTGTTATAAGGTCAGTAAGATCCGAACTAACGAGCCCTTCTACCACCTCTACCCGATCGACAAGATGTCCATATGTACGGACACAATCAAATCTGAAAAGGGTTGGAGGGATAACATCGTGGGCATTAGTGGGGCCTGGTCTTCGCCGGTTGCAGAGGATTACCCAATCCCGAGCGCCTTTGGCGTCTGTTCTGTTTCCTCATATAAGAAATTCAAATCTCACAAAAATGATTGTCCCTGCGAAACATGTGTTCCTCGCTTTTGTACTTTCTTATGCCGCTCCTTAGGAATACCTTGTGATGACTTGAGTTACAGTGTTTGCAGGGATAGGAGTAATTACTTGAAGAAATACGTTCTGAACGATATTCCTTCCTGCTCAGACCTCCTCACTTCAGACAACCTTCTAGCGCTCTCATCCCTCGGTTATACCATGAGCAGGCTTCAGATTCCATCCTTTGGCAGGAAGAAGAATACTCCCCCAGCCACTTCTGCTGCTGGGGCAACCTCCTCTCCTGCATCAGCCTCTTCCTCAGCCACTATCTCTGACACCATCCCCAGCACGGTGGCTATTGATTCTGTTGTTAGCACCCCTGCTACCAACCCGAGCGCGTCTCCACAAATCACTACAGCCCCTACTGCCGCTAGGGGAGCTCGGGACAAAGAATGAGGCAAAATGCCTCATCCTGACGGTGGAGTCGACCCTGAGGAGGAACCTCTTATAAGAAGGACCCGGGTCTCTGGGCCGGGTGCTCTCTTGCATCGCCCAGTCAGAGCCCCTGCCCCCTCCGGGCCTGTTGCAGCTGGTGCCTCTGCTTCTGCTTCAGCCTCTCCTTCTCTTCCCACTTTACCACCGTGGGCTCCTCGGTACACCCGAACGGATGGGACGTTCGTGAAGCCGAACGAGACCATGCTAAAAGATGGCCAGACCGCCATGGCGTATTACAGGAGCATGTGGACTCCGAAAGACCTTGAGGCGGCGAAAGGTCTATCCCAGAAGGATGTGTTCAGCCGCTTTCCCCAATCTGCCATGGAGGTGACTTTTATTTTCCAACTCATGAATCCTCTCATATTATTTGGTCTTGCCTTCGTCCGACCAGACTATAGGTTTAACCATTATTAATGTATATCTATGCAGATTTTGTTCGGAATGATGGCTATGCAGAAGCAGGTTGAAATGGGGAATGCCAGGGCTCGTAAGTTTTCTGATAGCCTGGAGGTGGCCAATAAGGAAAACGACCTTCTCGCCAGCAAGAATACCGAGGTATTGGCTCGGCTTGAAAAAACCAAACAAGAAAGAGATGTCTTGAAGAAGGAAAATGACTCTCTTCAGGATGAGAAGGATGCCCTCCAGCTCGAAAAGAGTGTCTGGCAGACTGAGCGTGATTCAATCAGAGACGAAAAGGCAGAGCTCCAGCGCCTTCTGGCTGATGAACAATCTGCTCGGATGGCCTTTGAGAAGAGAGCTCTGGACGAGCGTACTGCTCTGATTGATACCATCAGCAGAGTGAACGATAGGATGCTGGCTCTTCATGCTCGGTTCTCAAGGGTCGGCGCTCTTAGATATGCTCAAGGATTCCGAGAAGGTTTCTCCGACCGAGTTCCGGATGAGAGACAGACCAGCTCAACTCCTGATGAGGTCGATAAGGATTTAGGGATTGACCCTCTGGGGGTCTATGTTGACCCAGAACCCACCGAAGCGGAGCACATATTTGATGAGTGCCAGGACATTGCTTCCTCTAGGATCACTACAGCTCCTCCTACCGCTCTGCCTCTAACCGCTCCTCAATCGTCAACTGTGGTACCTCCCATAGCCACTGCTGACGTTAGCCCCCAGCAGAATGACTCTGTTATTCATCTTGACTCCCTACCTCGTGAGGGTGAGATGGCTGATGGGACCGAGGAGGCGAGTCGGCATAACTAGGAGGCTGTCGGTACTGAGGCAGCTAGCTAGGACTCCTCCGAACTCTTCGATTCCATACTTTTTTGTAACAATGTGACTTGAATATTTCATTTTTTGTAAATCCAATGCTTATTATGAATGAGATGACAGAACTCTTTTTCTCTTTTTCCTTTGTGTTGCGCTCTGTTCAAACCCATTTTCAATATATATATACCTTTTCTCTCTCTCTTTTATTTTTTATTTTTTATTTTTTATATTAACTTTGTCGTGTGCTTGTTTACGGCAAGTGCTTGGCGTTTGGCTTGCGGTACCAGTTGCCACTTATCTTGCTCAAGTGCCTGGCGCTCGGCTAGAATGCCACTTGCCACTTAGCTTTTCGTTTTTTAGCAAGTGTCTGGCGTTCGGCTTATGGTGCCAGCTGCCACTTATCTTGCTTATGTGCCTGGCGCTCGGCTAGAATGCCACTTGCCACTTGGCTTTTCATTTTTTTTTTTTTTTTTTAGCAAGTGTCTGGCGTTCGGCTTATGGTGCCAGCTGCCACTTATCTTGCTTAAGTGCCTGGCGCTCGGCTTATGGTGCCAGCTGCCACTTATCTTGCTTAAGTGCCTGGCGCTCGGCTAGAATGCCACTTGCCACTTGGCTTTTCATTTTTTTAGCAAGTGTCTGGCGTTCGGCTTATGGTGCCAGCTGCCACTTATCTTGCTTAAGTGCTTGACGCTCGGCTAGAATGCTACTTGCCACTTGGCTTTTCATTTTTTTAGCAAGTGTCTGGCATTCGGCTTATGGTGCTAGCTGCCACTTATCTTGCTTAAGTGCCTGGCGCTCGGCTAGAATGCCACTTGCCACTTGGCTTTTCATTTTTTTAGCAAGTGTCTGGCGTTCGGCTTATGGTGCCAGCTGCCACTTATCTTGCTTAAGTGCCTGGCGCTCGGCTAGAATGCCACTTGCCACTTTCATTTCATTTTTTATTTTATTTTTAGCAACCCATTGAAGAGGAAAGTTATTTTTATAAATTTCAGGAATTTGCACATTCATACGTACTTGATTGACAACAAACAACACCCAATAAAGCCGAAACTTAGCTTTTATTGGTAGTACCTCTTCAGAGACGTGGCATTCCAGGGCTTGCTGACCAACCTTCCCGCCATGGTTTCTAACGTATATGCTCCCTTGCCTATGACTTCTGTAATTCTGTATGGGCCTTCCCAGGGTGGCATCATTTTTTTGATTATCC